CACTATATAAATAAATAAACCCAGATACACTGAAGCTAACAGAAAAGAAAGTGGGGAGCAGCCTTGACCTCATTGGCACAGATGCCAACTTCCTGAACAGAGCACCAATAGCACAGACAGTAAGGTCAACAATTCGAAAATGGGATCTCATGAAACTGAAAAGCTTTGGCAAGGCAAAAAACACCATCATTTGGACAAAGTGGCATCCTACAGAATGGGAAAGATTTTTTTTTTTAGTGATTTCACATCCAGTACAGGACTAATATCCAAATTATATATCAAACTCAAGAAATTAGGTTAAAAAACTGAAAACCCATTAAAAATGGGGTATAGACCTAAACAGAATTCTCATGACACAGTTATTGTTCAACACACTTAACCATCAGGGAAATGTAAATCAAAATGACTTTGAGAGTCTGTCTTTATCAGAATGACTAAGATCAGTAACCTAGTGACAGCTCATGCTGTCGAGAATGTGGAGCAAAGCTACTTCTTCATTGCTACTGGGAGTACAAATGTACACAGTCACTATGGAAATCAGTGTGGCAGTTCCCCAGAAAGTTAGGAATCGATCTACCTCTAGACCCAGCTATACGGCTCTTAGGTATATATCCAAGGGACACTTAATCCTACTGCACAAACACTTGCTCAACCATGTTCATTGTTGCTCTACTCATAGTAGCCAGAATTGGAAATAAACTACATGTTCCTCAACAGAAGGATAAAGAAGATGTGATATATTTATACAAAGTATTATTAAATGTTTTAAAAACTGGCATCATGAAATTTTCAGGCAAATGGGTGGAACTAGAAAAAAATCCTGAGTGAGGCAACCCAGATCCAAAAAGATAAACATGGTCTGTATTCACTTATATGTGGATATTAGACATTAAATAAATGATAACCAAGCTACAATCCATAGAACCAGAAGGGTTACATACAGACAAGAAGACAAAGAGGGAGAAATGTATATCCCTGGGAGGGGAAAATAGAATAGAGTTCATGGGTGGACTAGGGGCATCAGAGGGGACATAAATGGGAGGTTCAGGTGGGAGGAGATATGGGCTTGAGAGATAGAGTGTGGAGAAAGACAGCTAGAATTGAGGGGCTTTGAGTACTGGTGTGGAAACCTAGTGCAGTCGAAACTTCCTAAACTCTATGAAGATGATCCGAATGAAGTCTTTGAATAATGAGGGAGACATAGCTCCAACTGGTCAATATTGTTAGTAAATGAAGCTTCCAGTACCAGGATGGGTTACATTCAATTGAATTGTTGGCCAAAGGGGTCCCATGAAAAATCCCAAACAATCTAAGGCTGTTGTCAAGACAGTAGGTTGACTCCACAAACTGACAGCAAGGTCTATTGCTGAAGACAACACCCACACAGCACATTGAACTTGGAGATGTTGATCTTGTGCCTACTAGAACATTCACCCGCAAGTTCTAGCATCTTTGGTATGGGAGGTATTCTATTGGCTACTAAAAGAGAAGTATCTACATCAACCCAGGGACAAAACATTTGATAAGCAATGCTGTCTTGTCTGCAGGATATGCTAGGGCTGAATTGTGGCACATTGTAAGAGTAACTATTCAATCAGTGTCTGCTTTGAATATGTGACACTGTTTTGGTGGCCAAGAGCCAGAGACTAACTAGCTCAGAGACATAGGACAAAACCAAGATTAGAAAAGAAAAAAAAAAGTAACAACAAAATGACCCCTGAAGATATTCTGCTACACTCTTAGATCAGATCCCTCCTTATTCAACCATCTTCAGACAAACTTCCCCCTGAAGCAGATGGGAACAGATTCAGAGAGACACAGCCAGACATTTCACAGAGAGAGAAACCTTGGAACACTGAGCTCTAATTGCAATGTCTTTGTCAAAACCCTCCCCTCAGAGCTCAGAGCACACAGAGAAAGAGGGGGCAGAAAGAGGGTAAGAGTCGGAGGGGATGCAGGACACCAAGAGAACAAGACTCTGAACCAACTGAGCAAAGCTCATATGAACTCAGACTGAGGCAGCAGGCACAGGGCCTGCTCAGATCTGAACCAGGTCCTCTGTGCACATCTTAAAGCTTTCAGTTTAGTGTTCCCATGGATTCATGAGTGTGCGAATGAGTGGGTCTCTGGTTCTAGTGCCTTCTCTTGGGCCCTACTCCTTCTGTTGGTTTACATTGCACATCAATGGAATGGTTTTTGTTTAATCTGATGTCTTGTTTTGTTATGTTTGGTTGTTAACTCTTAGAAGCCTGTTCTTTTCTAATGAGAGACAGAAAGGAATGGATGTGGGGGAGACTCTGAGGAGTAGAGGGAAGGGAAAACTGTAATCAGTATATATTATATGAGGAAAGAATCTATTCTTAATAAAGGGGGGGAAAGAAAAACAGCAGACGTCTAACAGGAAGAGGAACACTCTGGATGGCTTTGATGCAGAAAGAATTGACGGATTTTCATCACTGCACTTTCCTCAGTGGGAAAACTGTCTTCTGCTCTTCTGAGCACTTTACATGGGAATTACTACATTGGCTTTAAAATTATCTTGGACATCCTGGCCTGGGAATATCTGTGCTCCCATCCCCTCTATTAATAAATCTGTTGTTTATTGTTGGCAGGGGCGGGAAAGACCTTGTTGTGCATTTAATCCATTTTGTTCTCTGTGAACATCCTTCCACTCTTCTGTTAGGCATTTAGTCACGCATAATGACAAATGTTTTCACTCGTTTAAAAAAGATTTTCCCCTAAAAATAAAATTGGAAAGAAAATTAATTGCTCGAGTTTAAAGGCTTTTAAATACTTCTTCAAAATCCTCCTCAGTAGAATTCTCCTTAAGTCAATAGTCCCTCATGGGACAGGAACCAGGTTGAAAGTGATGGTTCAGGCAAATTTGGCAGCTAGAATAGCACTAAGTAATCAGGGACCTAGTCCTGTATCCTGGATGGTGAGCCTGCCCTCTAGTGTCTGGGAAAGGAAGCACAGGACCCTCTCACCTGTAGAAAAGGGCATAAAAGCTTCACTTTTCTTCAGAGCCCCATTGGCATCCAGGAAATGGTCAGGATTGAAGGCATTTGGTTGTTCAAAGTACCGTGGGTCATGGAGAGCTGCACTCAGGATGGTGTACACTTCAGTGTTCTAGGAGACATTGTGAGAGGCAATGATATTAGCATACCTGGCTCCCATAGGCAGACATCCTTAGGGAACCACAGAATGCTGGGAAACCACAAACAGGCCGAGGGTGGTCACTGAAAGAGTGGAGGATGACCAAGGCATAGAGATGTGGAATCACAGCTGGTCTCACCTTGGGGAGCAGATACCCTCGGAACAAAGTGTCTTTGGTGACTTTGTGTGGCAATCCAATTGGGCCAAGATCTGAAAATCTCTGAATCTCATGGATGACAGCATCAGTGTAAGGCATTTTGTTGCGGTCATCAAGGGTTGGTGGGCGGTGTGAGCCGATCACCTGATCGATCTCCTTTTGGACTTTCTCTGCACAGAAAGGGAGACAACACAGAATGTCCGTCCCTATACAGAAGCAATGCACAGCGACCCTGTTTTTTTGTGAGCCAATAGCTTAGGAACAGTGCAGAGCCAGAAGACTCTGCTGAGAAAGACACAGAGCACTCTGGGCACGCACACCTGAGCTTCTCTCCAGCCACAGCTATGTTAGAGACTCTCTCTAAAGCTCCAATCTTGCTCATAACAGAAAGAAAAGGAAAGCCCACAGCAAAGGGTTCTTTTTACCTATCAGTGTGAGGGAAGCCTGGAGACAGAGATGGTAAGAATACTTCATATTTGAAATATAATGATATAATTTCTCTTCCTGCATAACACACACACACACATCTTTGAATGCATTTTATATTTTAAAATTGAGGGAGCTGGAGAGATGTCTCAATGTTTAAGAGCACTGGTCGCTCATTCAGAGGACCGGGGTTCAATCCCCAGCACTCACATGGCAACTCACACTGTGACTGCAGGTCCAGGGAATCCGACCCCCTCACACAGACATATATGCAGACAAAACAACAGTGCATACTACTAAAAACAATTTAAAAATCCCGACTAGCCAGGCAATGGTGGCGCACGCCTTTAATCCCAGCACTCGGGAGGCAGAGGCAGGTGGATCTCTGTGAGTTCGAGACCAGCCTGGTCTACAGAGGTAGTGCCAGGACAGGCTCCAAAGCCACAGAGAAACCCTGTCTCGAAAAAAAAAATATCCAAATGAATAATCTGAGGCTATATTCTCAGGAATAAAAGGAAAATAAATTAATCTATGTATAATTGAATACCAAATATGAATACATTGGCGAATATTTTGGCCAATAAAATGGCTCAGTCAAAAAATGCATTGATTTCCATTTTGACAGCCTTCCTTTGACATCAGAACCCATGGGAATGTGCAGGAGAGACCCAACTGCACAAAGTTGTCCTCCCACCTCCACACATGAACTGCAGCAGACAAACTCACAAAAACATCACATCAATTTCAGATTCTTAGAATGTGAGTTGTAAGTCAGCCAAGCAATGGATGAGTTGCTTATTAAAGGAAAGATTGCTGAGTGAGTGAAATGAGCAAAGCAAAACTGGATGTCCATATTCCACTACTCACTCACTGTATGAATCAATTATTGAGTTAATAAATTGTTCATAGACAAATAAATCAATGAGTACAACTAACCAAAAATCAAGTAAATATGTGAATGAATAAAGAAGAAAATATAAGAATAAATGGGTAGATGTGTTAAACGATGAATAAGTCACAGATGAATGAGTGAGTTATTAAATGGATACATGGAGGAATGGATGGACACATGAAGGGTAGATTCAAATGTCAGTTAGTAGGATTAAGGAATGACCAGTGAATCAATGATAGATAGCCCACTCTACTAGATCTGATCAAAGAATAAAACTCACAGGCTGATTCATCCAAATAAATGATTGAAATATGTGCCCTTAGGCAAAGCAGAGATGAAATAATCAAGGATCAATAGTCTCTGGATATAGAGAAAATGGGCAGAGGAATACAGGAGAGGGTAAATAGTTGCGTAAAAGGGTGGATAAAAGGTTGGATGGATAATAGATGGATGGGAAATGAATAAAATGGGTAAAGGGAAAAAGAGGTGGACCAAGAAGAAGACAAGTGAATAGAGGGATGTAAAAACAGAAGCAAAGAAGGAGGTAAGGATGGATGGATGGATGGATGGATGGATGGATGGATGGATGGATGGATAGATGGATGGAAGGAAGGAAGGATGAGTGGATCAACCATTAATTGATAGGTGAAAACAATGGAAAACAGGACAACTGACTGTTAACTCATGCACCACCCACAGCACAGCCCTAGTTTAGAATTAGACCAAAGCCTTCAGC